GATGGGCTGGGGATGGATGGAAGGGATGCTCTGGGGATGGACGGGATGGATGAGCTGGGGATGGACGGCAGGGATGTTCTGGGGATGGACGGGATGGATGTGCTGGGGATGGATGGGATGGATGTGCTGGGAATGGACGGCAGGGATACTCTGGGGATGGGCGGCAGGGATGCGCTGAGGATGGACGGGATGGATGCTCTGGGGATGGACGGGATGGATGTGCTGCGGGATGGATGGACAGCAGCCCCCCGGGGACGTGGTTGTACATGGATTTGAGCCTTGCCGGTGCTTCCCTGGGAAAATCCAAGCGCCCACCTCGGAGCTGCTGTGAGCTCTGCTCCTCTCCCACGCTGTAACTCGACTGTAGCTGGGCTCTGTTTAACAATTACCATCACTCCGTAATTATCACTCGCTGATTTTCCCCTTTGTTCCCGCTTCCTGGGGAGGGGGAGAGGCTTTTCTGCCGTGCCAGGGAGCTAAAGATGTCTGGGATCCAAGACGACGCGGATGTGCCGGGCGCTGCTGAGGGGGTTTAACCAGGCACGGATCAAAACACCTTCCCCGAGTCACCCGTCACAGCCGGAACGAAACGCTGGGGGCTGTTCCTGCCCCCGGTTATCAGACACGAGCTCCCAGAGGCTGATTAGGGAGCACAGGGGAGCGAGGAGGGCTCGGAAGGAGCCTTTATTATTGAAATGAGGCAGCAAGGGAGGCTGAGCGGATGGATCCTTAATGAAATGGGGGAGGAAGGGAATTAGAGGGAGAACAAAGTACAAGGGGGATGAAACAGTCTCGGATAAGGAGGATCTGGCTGATGGAAGATGTGGTGGAGGCACAGCGACCAGAGCAGTGCTCTTGCTTTTACATCTGCCGTCTGAAGGGCTCAGACTCCCTCATTCCCAAAGGCTCCAAGCAAACAGCCCAACGTCCAGGGGTTAAAACACAGTTTCTGTCCAGCCCAGGCCGCCCTCAGCTGTGCATGTCCCAGCTCAGAGAGGCTGATTCCCATTCCATGGCCAGAGCAGACCCTCATCCTGTCAAATCCTTCCTGCAACACAGACGAGCTGCTCCCAAGCACAGCCCCAGGGGTCCAGGGAAGGTGCCTGTCCAGAGCTGCAGGAGAATCTGCCTGAGCAGCAGACACAGCCAGAGATGAGCCAAAGGGATTATCCAGGCAAATCCATCACCTCCTTCCTGCACAGCCCACTGGGGAAGTGGGTTTCCCTGGCTAAAGCTGCTGCAGAGCACATCCCACCGAGCTCCAGGCAGGATTCTCCAGCTCTGCCAGCAGCACTTGGCACCCAGGGAGCAGCTGGATTTGGCCAGTGCCCATTTACCAGCCTGGGGCCAGCGACCAGCTGGATTTGGACCATGGTCACAGGACATGGGCAGTGCCCAAAGCAGCCCCTCTCCCCACAGCCACAGCTGGGTTTTACTCCATGACCACACAAGTCTTTGCTTTCTCAGCTGAAGTCACGATGAAAAAGGAATTCCAGCCCCTCCATTTACAGCTTTTGCAGAAGGTGTTGGGGTTTTTTTCTTTTTTTTTTTTTTTCCACGGGTCAGCTAAAGAAAGCAGCAAACACTGATCCCACCCAGGCTGGATCCGGAACTGAGTTACAAAAACAGGGATCTAAGCCCCTAGAGCCACACTTAGTAATGCAAACAGACTCCTCGATAAACAGGTGATGGCAACAGTGTCCCAGCTCCCATCTCTTCTGGAGACCATCCCACCACCCTTCTCCCTCTCCCAGCTCTCAGTGGAAGGCATCGCTGGCGGGAGGTGGGACCTTCCCCAGCGAGGGTGAGGAGACCTGGGAAACCTTCTCCGAGGAGCCCTCGGTGTCTTCCACCCCCAGAACGGCGTGGGGGAGAAGCTGGGGGTAGCTGAGGGTCACCAGCTCCCCCTGGAAGGCGGTGTCGTGGTGGTAGGACACCAGCTCGTTGCTGAGGGTCAGCGTCTCCACGGCGCTGCCGCAGCCCAGGAGGGCGGCGAAAGCCCTCCGGAATTCCGCGTTGAAGGCGTAGATGACGGGGTTGAGGGAAGAGTTGGCCCACCCAAACCAGACAAAGGTGTTGAAGACGCTCTGGCCGACGCAGGGAAGCTCTCCTGGCTCGTGGAGGCCGGGCTCGCAGAAGGGCACCACGCAGTTGAGCACGAAGAAGGGCAGCCAGCAGCAGACAAAGACGCCCATGATGACGGAGAGGGTCTTGAGGACCTTGGTCTCCTTCTTGAAGGAGCTCTTCGGGGAGGCTTCCCGAGGGCTGGGGCAGCTCTGGGCGTGTCCCAGGGCCCTCTCCAGGGAGGAGATCCTGCGGATCTGGCGCCGGGCGACGCGGAAGATGCGGGTGTAGGTCACCAGCATGATGGCAACGGGGATGTAGAAGCTGATGAGGGACGAGGAGATGGCGTAGGGCCTGCTGAGCCTGGGAGCACAGCTCTCCTCCTCCCCAGAGGCATTAAAACCTGGCTGCTTTAACATCCCACGGTCCTTGTGCCACTGGAGCTGCACAGGGACGAAGGAGATGAGGAGGGACAGCAGCCAGGCCCCCCCGATCATGACGAAGGCCACGCGCCGCGTCATCCTCCTCTCGTAGCGGAAGGGGCTGCAGACGGCCCAGTAGCGCTCCAGGCTGATGATGCACAGGTTGAGGATGGAGGCCGTGGAGCACATGATGTCAAAGGCCACCCACACATCACAGAAAGCCCCCCCGAAGGGCCAGGAGCCCAGCAGGTCGGTGGCAGCCCTCCAGGGCATCACCAGCACGGCCACGAGCAGGTCGGACACCGCCAGGGAGACGACGAAGGAGTTGGTGACCTTGGAGCGCAGGTGCCTGAACTTGGCCACGGCCACACACACCAGGGTGTTCCCCAGGAGCGTGGAGAGGATGAGGAGGAGGAGTAAGGCTGCTGTCACCACACGGGAGGACAGCTTGGAGTTGCTTTCCTCTGCCCAGCTGGTGTCATTGGTCACGTCCTGCCCATCTCCTCCCGCCGAGGAGTAAATCCCATCCACGGGGACCTTTTTTTCCAGTCCCTGGAGAGGCTCCACAGCTGTTCCAAGTCCCCACCAGTATCCAAACCCCATTCTTACTGCTCCACAGACACCTCAGAAGCACCAGCTGCACTCCAGTCTCACACCCAGCTCAAGGAGAAGTGCTGGAAGCTCTCGCTCCTTCCCAGGTCTCCTGCTGCCAGCGCGGTGTTCGGATTTTCCCTCTTGCCTCCCAGCCCACTCTCCTTTCCCTGCTGCTCCCAGGGGGGCTGGCACTCACCTCCGGGAGCTGGAAAGGCTTTGCTGCAAACCTTCCTCCCTCTCAGCTCCTCTTCATCTCCTGGTGATCCTGTGCCTGCTGCAGAATCCCAACCCTTCCGTGGCCAGGCTGGGACTTGCTGCCAGAAGCCAGAGGGAATCTGAGCTCTCTCTGCTCGTGCAGATGGACCCTCCCTGCTCACAGACCC